GAAGCAGGAAGCTGCTTCCAGAAGTGCTGGCTTCACAGCCCCAAGACATCTGCGTTGACTCATATAAGCCAGAATAGATGCCCTTTGCACTCTCTCTCAACTGACTCCCAGATTAAAATCTTCTGCAAATTCATCCTCATTAGGGAGATTTTTATTTTTATGTTTTTGTGGAGACAGAGTCTCACTCTATCGCCCTTGGTAGAGTGCTGCAGTGTCACAGCTCACAGCAATCCCCAGGTCTTGGGCTTAGGTGATTCTCCTGCCTCAGCCTCCTGAGTAGCTGGGACCACTGGCGCCCACCACACCACCCAGCTATTTTTTTGTTGCAGGTTGGCCAGGGCCAGGTTTGAACCTGCCACCCTGGGTATATGGGGCCAGCGCCCCACCCATTAAGCCACAGATACTGCCCTCTCATTAGGGAAATTTAAATCACATCTTGAACCTTAGCTTCAGACATGAGCCAGTAATCAACTGTTACCTCTCAGTCCCAAATTCATTCTCTCACAACCTGGTGAGAATAGGATAAACTCCTAAGGTTTCCAATCTGACACCTCAGGGCTGCACGCTGATTTTGTGAAGACTTTTTTTGCTCGTCTGTGGTGTTGGATACGTAGTATCACAAAAACTATGCACGGACATTTTTGTTTGTTTGTTTTTGGTAATCAGCTTTTGTCAGCGTTTGTGTGTGTATTTACTGTGTGGTCCAAGACAACTCTCACGTTTCCAATGTGCTCCATAAAAGACAAAAAGGTTGAATACCCCTTAAAAGCATTTCTTCTTTGCAGTGAGTTGTGATGCTGAGATTTTCCAGTAGAGGGCGCCAGAGGGATGCCCCAGGAAGAAGTGGGTTCCTCTTCCTGATCCAGTGTGTGGGGTTTGCTTTTTCGTCCTCCTGCTGCCTGGGGCGGGTTTTGTTTCCCAGTATGACGACTGTCACTTGTCACTGTGGCCTAGGCCAGGCGACCTTGCCATGGTTCCCTTGAGGAGGTGACTGTCTGTCCCCGGCCTGGCACCCACTGCAGTGCCTCAAGTCTCATTATGTACTTGCATTCCATGCCACTAATTGTAGGATGCAATAAAATTAGTACTTTGAGGGAATTTTATACTTTGAAAACGTTTATTGAAAATATAAATTGAGGCTCGGCACCTGTGGCTCAAGCGGCTAAGGCGCCAGCCACATAAACCTAAGGTGGCAGGTTCGAATCCCCAGCCCGGGCCCGCCAAACAACAATGATGGCTGC